CCCCGCCTCTCCAGGCGCTGGTCGGCGCGCGGCAGCTCGCGCTGCTCCCGGTGGGCGCGCTGCTCGTCAACGTCGGCCGCGGCAGCGTGGTGGAGGAGGCGCCGCTCTACGCCGCGCTGAGGGACGGCCAGCTCGGCGGCGCCGGGCTCGACGTGTGGTACAACTACCCGGTGCAACTACACCCGACGCCCGCCCGCCTGTCTCGGACCCGCGGCACGCACTCCTCGCGCGGCGCGGCCTCCGCCCTCCCTCGCAGATGCTCAAGGGCCAGGGGCTCGGCAACGAGGGCTGCGGGCCGTCGAGCGTCGGCTGCCCCTTCCACGAGCTTCCGAACGTGGTCATGTCGCCTCACTGCGGCCAGCTCTCCGACTCGAAGGCGCGGGACCGCGTGGCCGAGCTGGTCGGCATGCTCGAGGAGGGGGCGCGCTGCGGAGAGATCCCCAACCGGTATGACGTGGAGCGAGGGTATTGAGACGATCCGCATTCGTTCTCGTTTTTTTAGACCTTTACTGAGCAGCAAGGGAAAAGAAAATAAGAAATAAACCACCCGAGAGCGAGACTAAAAACCAGCCGTAGCCCGTAGAGCACGTATGAGCTATGAGGTATGTGCCTAGAACAACAGAGAGGGGTGGATGAGAGGCCATAGCCGGGAGACGAGCAAACCCCCGGGGAGCGGGGTCGCTGCGCACCTGAGATCTAGAGATCCGCCAACGACACGTGCATCCGGCGCGCGCGGCTGTGAATCACGCCGGCATGTTGTCGATGTCAAAAGGGGCGGCATCGGGCGTCGGCTCGATGCCAAAGACGCGCGAGAAGAAGAAGAGCTCTGAGTTGAGCGCGTCCTCGATGTTCTCCGCCTTTCGGAAGCCGTGCTGCTCGCCCTGGTACATCTTGAGCGCGCACGGCAGCCCCTTCTTGAGCAGCGCCGCGTGCATGAGCTCCGCCTGCCGGGGGAGGGGGGGCGCCCGGCCTCTCACGAGTCCGCGGGCGAGGGAGCGGCGCAAGGGCGGGTTGGGTGGGTGGCGAGGGCGGGAGTGCGTGGCTCGAGGCTGCCTGGTTGGGCGGGACAATCTTGTCCTCGTCGCCCTGGAGCAGCAGCACGGGGCACGAGAGCGAGTCGACGGCGTTGATCGGCGCGCGTTCGTCGTACAGCTGCTTGTCCTCCGGGTACTTGCCGACCAGCCCGTCCAGGTAGCGGCTCTCGAACTTGTGCGTGTCGCCGGCGAGGCAGCCGAGGTCGGCGACGCCGTACAGGCTGCACCCAGCCGTGAAGATGTCCTTGAAGGCCAGCGCGCCCAGCGTCGTGTACCCGCCCGCCGACCCCCCGTCTATGGCGAGCCGCTTTGGGTCGGCGAGCCCCTCGGCCACGAGGTGCTGCGCGCCCGCGCACACGTCGTCGATGTCGCACACGCCCCAGTTGCCGCGCAGCCGGCGGCGGTAGTCGCGGCCGTAGCCCATCGAGCCGCCGTAGTCCACGTCGAGCACCGCAAAGCCGCGCGACGTCCAGAACTGGATCGCCGGGTTGAAGGCGGTCGAGGTAGCGGCGGTGGGCCCTCCGTGCGCCTTGACGAGCAGCGGCGGCGCCGCCTCGTCCGACGTGAACGCGTCGTTGCGCGGCGGGTAGTAGTAGCCGTACGAGGTGCCCATCGGCGCCGGGAACTCGACCGGCCTGGGCACGCTGACGAGGGACTCGTCAATCTCGGACGACGAGGAGCACGCAATCATCTCCGCCGCTCCGCCGCCGCCCGGCAGCAGCCCGGACCACCTGTAAACGCCGCTCGCGCGCTGCGGCGAGCCGCCGAGCATGTAGAGCGCGCCGTCGTCGCTCGACTCAACGAGCGAGCCGAAGAAGAAGGGGAGCCCCTCCTCCGACCCAAACTCGCTCGGCGTCGGCGCCGCAACGTCGTCGAGCAGGACGAGGCGCGACTGGCCGCTGCCGCGGTCGACGTAGGTTGCGACGACGCGCCCGTCCTGCAGGAAGGCGAAGCCCTGCTGCCCGAACTGCCAGCCGGGCGAGCCGCCGCCAAAGTCCGTCGGGCGGGGCAGCACGTTGACGGCCGACGCGTAGCCGCCGTCGGGCGGCGCGCGGTACAGGTTCCAGAAGCCGCTCTCATCGCTGATGAAGTAGAGCGCGCCCGAGGGAGAGAAGGCGGGCTGCTGCACCGAGATGTCGCCGTCGGACATGCAGCCCTCCGCGTCGGCGCCCGCGACCCGCGCGTGCCCCGCGGTGCTCGCGGCCGTCTCGTCCTCGCCCGCGCCCTCGGCGGTGGCGAGCGGGCCGAGCGGGCGGACGCGCAGCGTGGTGGCGTCCCACGGCATGCTCGGGTGCTCCCACGTGATGTAGGCGAGCGTGCGTCCGTCCGGGCTCAGCCGCGGCGCAGCGTAAAAGTCGGCGCCGGTCGCGAGGACCGTCATCGCGCCAGAGCCGTCGAGCGCGACAGAGACGACCTCGTTCAGCACCGCCGACGGCTTGGCGTCCGCGGTCGGCGAGTGGTCCTCGCGCACGCACACCAGGTGCCGCCCGTCGGGCGTCAGCCGCGCGTCGGCAAACCGGTACTGCCCGTCGGGCCACGCACTTTCGGGCGTCAGGCAGACGGCGTCGCCGCCGCCCGCCGGCGCGAGGAAGAGGCGCTGCGACTTGAAGTCGGAGTAGACGACGCCCTTGGGCGTGAGCAGGTGCGCTCCGCCGCCGTACTCGTGCACGCGTGTCCGCACGTTGGCGTCCTTGGGCGTCGCATCGACGGCGCCGCGCTCAGAGGCGCCCTCGGCGCCGGGAGCATACTTGACGACGACCTGGCGGCCGCCCTCTTGCGGCCGGCCCTCGAGCCAGTAGACCGAGCCCGAATCGTCGCAGCCGAGCCCGCCGATCCGCACGCCCGACGTTGTGATGAACTTGGCTGTGACGGCCGAAGGCCACGCGCCGTATGGCGCGCTGGTGGGAGCAGCGGCGGACGACGACATCCGAGCCGCGCCCTGGTTGGATGCAGCCCGAGCTGTTCCGAGGCGGAGCGATGGTGCCATGACAGCAGCAAGCGTGAGCATGCAGTGGGTTGAAGAGTGTCCTATTGACACGACAGTGCACGTGATTCGGGTCCGGAGGTGTGCCTTTGTGTCACAATTTCGGGCCTGGATCGGGCTTTGGTGAGGGTGCGCACAGTGCCAAGTGGTGCGCAAGAATCCATGGTGAGGAGACGAAGTTTCTTCCCCCTTTCCGCCCCCCCGGAGGCACCAGGGCCACACCCTCGCAGCCTCTCAAATTAGACATGCTGGCCTCGACAACTGCGGGGATCACGCGTCCGATCACGCCTGCGATCGGGCTTCGAATCGCCGCGCCCCTGATGCAGAGCAGCGCTCTCACCAGCCCGATGAACGAGGAACAGGCAACAACGTTCCTGACCAGCGACATAACAGCGGCGAATCTTCCCGAGCGGCTCTCCTTCCTTCGCCGCGACAAGGCAGAGATCACCCCACGAGTTCCATCCTCCGCCACACGGCACCCAATTCCCGCCGCCTCCCGCCGCCTCCAGGGCGTTGCAGACGACGTCCTCGTCGCTGCGTGCGACAAGCTAGGCCTCTCCGGCGGCGCGGCTTTCGAACTCACGCTCGCTGACATCGGCGGCGACGGCCCCGAGTGCGGCGCGGTGCCCTGGGACCCGATGGGCTTCGCCGAGTACGGCAAGTTTGGCAGCCTGCCCGCCAAGCTCGCCTGGTACCGCCACGCCGAGATCAAGCACGGCCGCGTGGCGATGGCGGCGTTTGTGGGCTGGCTCGCGACTGCCAACGGCTACTTCTTCGACGGCTTTCTCTCGCGCGAGCTTGGCATCAAGTTCGCGGACCTGGGCACCGACCCGCTCTCTGCGTGGGAGCAGATGCCCGCCTCGGGCAAGGTGCAGATGCTGCTCGCCGTCGGGGCGCTCGAGGTCGCGCAGGAGACGGTGGAGCCGCACTACCTCCGAGGAGGCGAGCCCGGCCGCTTCCCGCTCGTGCGCGACTCGGTCCTCGCCCCCTTCCGCCAGTTTGGAATCTACAATGGCGCGATTAAGAAGCAGTGCGCCCGGCACCCACCCGCTGCCCGAGCCCTTCGCTCCCGAGGAGAGAACCTCTGCATCCGACCCCATCGGCATCGATGCCGCCGACGGGCCGCGCCTCCCCCCCGGCGCAGGCTGGAGGCGCAGGGCCGCACCGTCGAAAGCCTTCGGCAGGAGAAACTCCTCTCCGAGCTCAAGAACGGGCGGCTCGCCATGATCGGAATGGCGTCGCTCTACGCCGCTTCGGTCGTGCCCGACAGCGTCCCCTTCTTCAAGGGCGGCATCGCACCCTTCCCCGTCGGCTGAGAGAACCGCGGCCCGCCAACGGGGGGGGAGAGGGCACAATAGAAGCGCTCAGAGGGCTCGCCTCCTTGTCCATCGCCCTCTCCGCCTCTGCAACGCACCCAGGTCCAGGCTCTCCAATAGAGGGTCGATTCCTTCTCGTGGCAAGGCATGTTTTCACAGCCAGATCTGTCTTGCTGTCATGACAGCTTCCCAACTGTGTCATGAGACATGACAGCTGCGAGGAGCGGGACCGCGTGGGGCGCAAAAACGCGATAGATCTGGACTCGCCGCCGCCACCAAAGCGTGCGGGGGCCAAGTCAGACACACAACGACCACGGACCAGGTTCCAGGACAGCCTCCAGCCTCCACGGACCACGCTCCAGCGTCCAGCTCCAGGCTCCAGCCACCAGCCTGCTGGCAAGTCCAGTGGCGAGTCTCAGTCTCGCTCTCGGGGCGGTGACGCGTTGGTCGACACGCCCCCGGCCCGTCGGCGGTCGCGGGGATGGAGCGGCTCCTCTACACGCTCGGGGCCGAGGTTTCGACGCTGTGGCGCGTGGCGCGGCGGCGGCCGGCAAACCTGTGTCACCCGAAATCCATAGTGTCACTCCAGATCCATAAAATGTCGCATTTGCAACGCATTTTGTTGCAAACAAGTGTGCAAATGGTTGTTTTGACCAGTACTCACCTGCCCCTGCGGAGCATGCGCATGCTAGCTCTCGTACATGCACTCTCTCTTCCGTCCGCACCCGCACGGTACCCATTCCGGAGCCCACCATGCCGCTCGCACCTGGCTCGCACCCACCCACTATGCGTGTCATGCCAGCAGTGCTATGAGCTAATCACTTGGGGACGCCCATGAAGCCCAAGAACCTGGCCTGACTCTCCCGCTCACTCTGCTCGCGTGCGCGCGAAGCGTTGAGCTCGGCCAGCATCATGCCCTGCGCAAAGGTTGGGGAGAACATGCTCCCGCCCGGCTGTGCAAACACGGAGGGGGCCGTCTCTGCATCGCGAGTGCGATAGAGCGGCGCCGCCGGTGCCGGCTTGGCCCTCTTGCGGCGCTGCCCCTGCGGCGCATCCCTCGGCGGTGGCGGCCCGGGTGGTGGTGGCGGCGGCGGAGGCGGCGGCGGAGGCGGCGGCGGAGGCGGCGCGGGAGGCGGCGGCGGTGGCGCGGCGGCCGCGTCCACGTCGTCTGCTTGTCGACCGAGTTGTAATAGTAGGGGCGCCCATTGCCGTCCACGTACTCGGTCCAGTCCTTGCCGATTTCGGCCTGGCTCTCCTCCTCCTCCTCCTCCCCCGCCTCGTCGGCGTCCGCCTTCTTCTAGGGTACCCAAACTCCGGGGCCGGTGTGCGGGGAGCGAACCTTAACGGCCGCCCAGAAGCTTTCTGAGCGAACCAATCGGGCCAGGATCATCAGCATATGTCCCCTCCACAACATCGTGGGCGTTTGAGCGGTATTTGAGGAGCACCGCCACTCTGAAGTTCGGCCGGGTGGTCTGCAGACCCCCCCCCCCCCGAGCAGCAGAGCGGGCTCCGTGGGGTCGAAAAAGTCGACGCTGGGAGTCGCACTCGTCAAACCATCGCAGTACCATGCGGTCCGCACGTACCGCCCACATCCCCTCCACCGCTGAGAAGGCGCAGATCGACCGCCGGGCCGCGCAGTCGTCGTTAAGGAGCGGTTTTCGGAGCCGTACGAAGAGGTCCCGCACAGACGGACCCCGACCCGGCGAACATGCGGTTTTTCGATGACCACGCGCGATGTGGTATCTGCTTTTTGCTAAAAACGGGCCGCCTAGTGCAGCACCACTAGTACAGCACGCAACCACACTTAGAGCTCCACAGTAGATGCTTTTGACGAGCGCCGACGGCGTCACGGTCGCCGGAGTGGACGCACTGCAGACTGCACACACACACTGTGACCGGGTTGTTGGTGTGACAATGAGCGACACAATCGTCGGCGCCGCGCTATCGCGGCGCCCCGCAGTCTACACACCCCCACCCCTGAACGCGCCATGAGCGCGCAGGCACAGAGCAGCGCCGCGCCAAAAGGCCATTCCCTCGCCCGACCCGTGGCTCCACCGTGGCTGCAGCGGTCCGCTCACCTGTGCACAGGGCAAAAACGTGTAGCTTAACAGACGAGTTGTGATGATCAGTGCTGGCGGAGGCCTCATCGCCGCGAATGTTGCCCGTCGCAGCGGGATCTGACGTCGCGTTCGAGGTGTGCATTGGCGGAGGGGTCGCATGGCTGAGAGAGGCAGAGGCAGCAGGCGGGTGGTGGGGCGGCACCTGTTGCTGCCATGGGCAGCGCCAAGCCGCGCGGCGGAGTCGCTCCGTAGGTCCGCGTTGAGCCACACGAGTGCGCCGACCCGTCGCGAGGTGCCTGCGGGGGTGATGTCGCGCCGATGGCTGAGTACGCGCGGCGTGAGCGGCTTTGCGCGGAGAGGCGGCGCGAGAAGGCGAGCGGGCGGGCGCGCCGGTGGTCGGGCACCGCGCGCTGCGGCTGCAGCAAGCCGGCGGCTGGCGCGGCAAAGGCGGGCAGCGTCGTCGCGGGCAGGTAAGCGACGGGCGCACACGGAAGCCGCAAAAACGCACACGGAGGCCGCAAAAAATCACACCGAAGCCGCAAAAAATCACACCGAAGCCGCAAAAATGCACACCGAAGCCGCACTTCGCAAATTTGCAAAAAAAAACCATAAGAGTGTTGGCCGCTTTGTGTATCTCGAGACCTCGAGAGAAGGCCGCCCGCAGGCGAGGGCCCAAGTCAAGAATTGGCTTTCTTTTGGCGGGCAAATAAGAGTGACACTATGGATTTCGGGTGACACAGGTTGGCAGTGGTGCGTTGACAACGGACACGCCGACGACACACGCGCCAGATCGTCCTGCTGGGCGGGCTGGATGACGTCTGTGGCTGTTCTAAAGCTGGAGCAGGGCGCCGTCCGTGAGCGGCTGGTGCGCCAGCGCCCCTCAAAAGGCGATGCGCGAGCACGAGAGGCGCTCTGCACCCACTGCAGACGTGTCCATCTCCACAAATGCTGATTGCTGTCCGAGAGCAGTGCGCGGGGCGTGCGAGTATCATGGCGAGTGTATGTGTGAATGTACTATGTAGAGCGTCGCGCGCTGTACTGACGGTTGTGAATTAGTACGTATTAGTAGAAAAGAGTATTCTGTATACTCAACACGCAGTGGACACGCCGCCTAAAACGGTGGGTCGAGCGACTGCGGCGGCGGCGCGTGCCCCCGCGACTCTGTGTCGCGCCCAGCTAGCCTCCAGCCTCGCTACGCTCTACACGCAACACGCTACACGGTCGTCGGTCGCGCTCATGTGCAGGAAGTAGGATTCATGCTCCCCCCCCCAGGTCCCAAACTCCCCGGCACACGTGGGGCCGCACGCAGGTCCGCTCACCGCGATACGCGCGCTATGCGTGCGACGACACGCGGTGGAGAGCTGTGGATCGAGGGAGGCTCAAGGGCGCTACTATCCTCGCACAGGCTGTGTGATACATCCGAGTCCGCAGCTCAGCCGATCATGGCGAGCATCTCGGAGATGAGCGGCGTGTCTCCGCCAGCGAGTGCCTCGGCGGCAACCTCGGAGTCGAGCATGGCGAGCAGCTCCTCCTCCGCCACCGACGACTCGCCCGACGGGCCCGAGTCGGTCGAAGGGCCGGCCGAGAGGGCGGGCGGCGCCGCGACGACCTCGGTCATCTGCCTCTCCGCCGCAAAGGAGCGGCCGCCCATCTCCATGTAGGACACCCGCTCGGGCCGATCCCGCGGAGGCGGAGGGTGGCGCGGCGCCTGGGTGGCGGAGTCAATGCCGGCGCGGGGCGCGTACTGGCCGAAGGTCGCGGCGGTGCCGAAGAGGTCGCCCGCCTGCAACGCGGCGAGGAGCTGCTCCGTGTCGGTGAAGAGGCCGCCCTGCGCGAGGCCGCCCTCCGCCTCCTCGAGGAGCCGCTTGCGCTTGCGCTGGCCGAGCCGGCTGCAGTCGAGCTCGACGAAGCCGCCTCCGTCGGAGCCGAAGGGCGAGAACGCGACCGCGAGGAAGTTGACGACCTTGCCGCTCGCCGCGTCAGTCACGCGCACGTGCCGCGTGAAGTGGTGGTGCGGGATCGCAACCTCCTCGGCCTCGGCCTCCTCCTCGAGCGGGACGCCGAGGCGCGACAGGGTCTGCACGTACCGGCTCGAGCGCCTCATCCGGAGGGAGAAGTGCTCCTCGGCCTGCGACTGCGCGACCGCGCTCGTCGCGTCGAGCGGCGACAGCGGCGACACCAGCGCCTGCGAGCAGACCTGCAGCAGCCGCTGCCGGTCGGCGTCGCTGTCGAGCATCAGCGCAATCAGCTCCGCGGGCGACGAGTGCGAGTAGAGGTCGGGGACCTTGTCGGCGCCGCGCTGGACGGCGTACTCGGCAAAGTGGGGGTTGGGGATGCTCCAGTACTTTGTCTCCGACATCGCCCGCACGTACACCATGCAGGGCGAGTTGAAGAGGTCGGAGACGGCGGGCGGGATAGCGACGGGCAGCGGCGACGTGCAGGCGATCAGCCCCTCCTTGGGCTTGACCTCGCTCAGCGGGAAGCCAAGCTGGTGGGCGGACTGCATCGCGAAGGCCGTCAGGCCGCAGCAGTCGCGCGCCTGCGCCACGTCGAGCACGATGTGCAGCGCGCCGAGCAGCACGTTGCGGTCCGAGACGGTGCCGGCGCAGCCCATCACGAGCCGCCGCGTCATCTCCGACACGAGATCGCCGAAAGTCTTGCTCACGGCGAGGGCCGTGTCGCTGTTGGAGGTTGAGAGCGTGATCGGGACGGAGAGTAGCATCGACTTTGGAGGGGTTGGCATGCCAGACAGCGCCGTGCTGCTTGGCGCCGCTGACTCCACCCACGTCACGTTGCCCTGGCGCTCGAGCTGGACTTGAGTGCTACGCCCGGCCTGCATCTCCACGTTGCGAGATCCAAGCCGCGCCTTGCCGCTGCTGCGGCGCTGCTCGGGCACGCACTGCAGCCCGAGACGCTTGCACCGAGAGCACTCTCGCACAGAGCCGTCCAGCGCGAGCATGTCGCACTTGGTTCTGGACTGGCGGCAGCACTTGCAGAGGGCGTTGATTGGCATCTCTGCTTCGAATGGAGACAGCTGCGGCACGTGCCCGACCTGGCGGGGCTTTCGAGACGATCGCTTTCGATAAGATCTGTCGGCACCTTGACTGATCCTTGGCGTTAGCCTCTTGCGACTCGATGCTTCACTCATGCTTCGGTGTGAATCACGCCCGCTGTGAAAACAGTTGGCGGGGGATTTTTTCGCCAGTCAATAGAGCATGAAAATACCTTTCAGACGGTAGCTTTCTGTCCTCCAGAGTCGAAGAACTCGACCGGTGGCTGGCCGCCAAAGTGGCTGGACGGCGCCGCGGCGCACACTGGTGAGCCGCGGAGCACACTGAGGGAGCTGTCCTCGGCGCAGCCGATCAGCTCCCGCGGCCTGGGTGATGGCAGTGGCACTCTCTGAGGCTCCCTGATTTTTTCTGGTATTTGTTGAGCACTCTCTGGTCACCTTCGCCGGGCGAGCCTGGCTCTCGCTGCACAGCGGCGCGACCCGCGGTGAGGCTGCCGATCGTCGAACTGGGCTTAGCTCTCAGTCAAGATATTGTGCATATGGTCGGTCTCTACAATATCTTGACTGAGCACGACCGATGAATCGGCAGCACGGAGACAGGAAGGCTCGCTGTGTGAGTCGGCCACGCAGAGGGTCGGAACCTGGGTCGCAAGAGGTTAGAGGGTACAAGGACGAGAAAAAGAATTCTTGCTTATCATCCCATGACTACATGGATAAGTCGGGTGCAACCTGTCCTATACGAGAGAGGAATCCCTGGGACCCTGTCGTGTGGGTGAACCCTGCCCAGCCCCCCTCCGTGTCGCGATGCGCTCCTTGGCCTGCACAAGCATCAAGCTTTTCCGGCAAACAAAAAGGAAAACAGAGGGGCGAGCACTTTGCGTTTCCGGAAATTTCCAGGGAAAACAGAGGGTGTTTGGTGCTCCATTCTGGAAACTCGCGAGTTTCCCTGAGTCTGAGAGCTGGTCTGGGGCAAAAACCAAAATCTGAGGCAAAATTGAGGAAATCGGCACGATACCCAGGCGGTCGCAGGATATTTTCCAGGTACACACGGGTTCTCCGCGAAATTCCCGGCATTTTGCCGATTTGGCCTAAAATTTGGCTGATTTTGGGCCCAAACCAGCCTCAGACTCGGCTCAGAGCCCGGAAAATTTGATGGTTTCCCCGGGAAAACAGAGAGGAAAAAAGAGGGTGCTGTAGAGAAAAAAGGAAAGGAAAAGCGACGCAGCGACGGGGTGCGAGAGGAAAAGCTTGTTCAGCCTAATGCGCTCCCCGCTCCCGTTCCCCTGTGTCCCTGATCGTCCTTACAAGATCCTGCTCGTGCAGGTGGGGACCCTGTCCTTCTCCCACCCCTTGTTTGGTGTGTCCGTTTTATTTATTTATACATGGATAAGTCTGTGTGCTGTGTGGTGCACGCCCTCCGAGCGGGGCGGGGTCTGCCCGTCGGGTTGCTGCCCTAATCTCACCAGGGATTGTCTGCTCTATTTATTTATGACTACACATGGACCACATGGACCACACTCACATGAAAAGAAGAGATCTCTCACAACATGTCTTTGCATGTAATTTTGTTATACCCTCCTGGGGCACAAGAAAGAGGCTCTACGGGGTCTGTGTACGGTCTGTGCTGCTGTCGGGCGCTGTCAGCGCTGCTGTCAGGCCACGGTGTGCTGTCGGGCTGTCGGGCAGCTGTCAGGCTGTCACGTTAGGGCCTGACAGCGACGGAGCCCCTCGCCTGTCAGACTCTGCTGTCAGGCTGTCAGATACGTGCTGTCAGACTGTCAGAGAAAGTGCTGTCAGCGCTGTCAGGCTGTCGGGCACTGACCACTGTCAGGCGCTGTCCGGGGTTTGCTGGCAGGCCCTGTCAGACCAGGGCTCAGGTGCACTGCGGCGCGTTTGGGGTCAGGCGTTTCTTTTGTCCTTTGACCGTTGCCATATCGCCCGATATACGAGATAGAGCCGAGCTGTGGTAAGGTGAGCGTCTACGATGTGGCCCATTTTGCACACCCATATACGTCTGGGGGGGGGGGGCATCTTTGTTTACCGAAATGGTTGGGTAGTAGGGCTAGAGGGTCGCTCTACACTTAGCCTCTGCAGCGAGCGAGCGCTCAACTTAGCCCCCGCACGGAGCCGGGCTCGGACTTAGACGCTGTATGGTCGGGGGCCATGAACTTAGACGGCACAAGGCCAAATCCGGGTAAAACCCGGGTATACCTGCAAAAGTCCAGGTTTACCCGAAAAATACCTGGACGCGTCCCGACCAACGTATGCCGCGCACGACGCCATATCGCCTTGTCCCAGGGCCAGTGCGCTACTTGCGGCGCGCAACTCCTGCTCAAGTACGCGCACCGTACCATGTGCTGCCGCTATGCGTGTCTTAAGGCGGCTGCGGCGAAGCGGCGGGCGCGGCATGCCGATGGCAGTGCGGACGATGCGGTTGCGATGTGTTCTGCTTCAAGATCGTGGCGGTGCTTGGCATGCACTTCTGCGATCCCAATCAGCTCATCGCAACGAAGCAGCGCAACAAGCTGGCTGCTGCCAACAAGGCCCTATGCTAGATCTACCTCACGCGCGGATCGTTCAAAGAGGACCAGCATACACAGGCTTCCTTGACATGCGTTTGTTTGAGCTTGAGGCTATTTGTGAGAACTGTTTGGCTTGAAGATTGCGCTCAAGAAGAGCAACGAGAATCGGAAGAGGAGGATGCTGAGGCGGCGATTGCTGAGCATGAGAAGGATCGATCCGGATTAGAAGGCGCCCGCCGCAGGCGAAGAAAATTTGGGGGCTAGCGCCGTATCGTTGATCACGGTGGGAGCCTCTTGGCCCCAGGCTGTGCCACGGCCGACTTAGCCGATGTAAGAGGCTCTCGCTGATCTTAGACCGCGTAAGCACCCCAGCGTGACTAGTCACACTTAGACCCGCTCAGCCTCGAGGCTCAGAACTTAGACTACTACCCAACCAGTTTTACCGAATGCGCCATCTCCAGGACAGCCGTCGCATCCTAGAATGCCCTGTGTACCCGAGACACATGGTATCTTTGAGATGAAAAGTGCGTCCTAGAATGCGTTTTTGCATTCTAGGACGCATCGGTAAACAAAGATGGGGGGGTCACCCCCCCAGACGATATATGCGGGGGGAGCCGCCAGCGAACACATGAGACAGTGACCGGGTGTGTTACAACACAAGACCAACGAAGTCAAAGACTGTGCTCGCTCTCTGGACTCTTTTCTCTGCCTCTCTGCCTTTGGCCTCGTGCGGAGAGTCCGGAGAGAGTGCAGATTGGCAAATTCAACCGCGACAACCGGCAAGGGCCGGGGCCGCTACCGTATAGCCTATACACCAACGCGCTAGTCGTAGGTCACAACACGTCCAGGTCATACGTACTATAGGTCCTCAAGAGCTAGTCCCCTCCTCAAGTCTATATTCCACGGCTGTCATTTGGAAACTCTGCCTGTCATTGCATCTTGCAGGCCGCGCCGGCGTCGGCTACGGCCTCCATCTCATCGTTCGTCGGAGGTCGGATGCGCCCATACTTTCGGTTGAGCGCCTGCGTGAGGGAGGGGGCGTGCGCTCGCCGACAGGAGACAGGCGGGGAGGAGAGGCGGGCCGCACCTCCTTTTGCTCCGAGGTGAGGTACTGCACGGCGCCGGACGTGGTGGTGCCGACCGGGCGCGGCACCACGGCGGGAACCTCCTCCCGAGCTGCTCGCTGCTGCGCAGCGGCCTCCATGGAGCGTAAAAACGCCGCTCGCTGCGCGCCGATGCCGGGCTGTGCCAAGTGCTCCTCCACCAGCGCGTCGACCGCCGCTTCGCTGAGAGCCGGGAAGTGCTGTGTGAGGTCGTCACGGAGATCCTCAAGCTGCACATCCGTAAGGTAGTGCAGGTCGGGTACTCGGGCGACCCGGAGAAAACTGCGCGCCTCTGCCGCCGCATCGGGAGAGAGCAGCGCGAGCCGAGTTAGAAAGGCCGGCTTCATCGTGCCTTACCAAGAGAGCTGGATTCCAACTTTTTGCGGGGTAAGGTATGGTAGGGTCGGCGCCCTGGCGCCGCGACCATACCCCCCCACCCGCACAGGACGTCGCCTCTGGCCAGCAGGACCATACCCCCCCACCCCCCACCCCACCACACGAGCGCGTACAGTAACCGTCGTCGGGCAGCGAGCTGTCCAGGAGCCGAAGTTGAGGCGGCGTCGCGGCGAGAAGGCCCGCGACAGTATCGAAGCGGCCGGGGCCGCCGTGAGTCGGCATCGTGTCCGCGGCTGTGTACGGCGGCTGTGTACTGGGTTCGAACCCTGTTGTAACGTGGCCGCTCCAGCGATTGACCATACCCCCCCACCCGTCGAGCAGGCCGCCTCCGGCGGCCAGGACCATACCCCCCCACCCTTTTGGCGCCGACCCCACCATACCTTACCCCGCAAAAAGTTGGAATCCTGACGGGCCGCCGGGGCGAATGTGCGAGGGAAACGCGAGGATTATGTTTCTTTTTCTTCGACTCATGGATTTTCAGTGTGTGGAAAACTCCCTCACACGATTTTCAGTGTCTGTGCTCTTACGTACATTCCCGGAGGAGGACTGCCGAAGAGGTTTGCGATGAGTTTGTCAACGTGATGCTGCCCGTACGGTGACAATTTTCTTCCTTTTGTGTTTTGAGAGAAATAAATAAAATAAATAAAACGGACACCTCTACTAGGAGATGGGTAAAAAGGAACAGGTCCCCGCCCTGCGGTCTTTGTGCAGGGTTCTTTGTGGGTGTGTGGTCGGCGACTAGCCGGGGTCGTCCTCCCGATGGGGGACTAGCACTAGCCGTCTTCCACATGGTCCCTCGGGTCCCTGCTGCTCCTAATCTCGTCGTACATCCTCCTGCTGATCTCAGCAACATCCTGCTCCCTCCCTCGTCTCGCCCTGCGCGTCTGCTCCGCCTCCCCGTCGTCTGCCCTGCGTCGTCTGGTGACGGGTCCTCCATAGTCGGTCGAGGTCGCCGCCCTCCTCGTGCCTCTTCCCAACGTTTCCTCGGCGGCCGATGCCGTCTGCTCCGACTCCGCCGTCCCCGGGTCTGCCCTGCCCTCGTCTGCGCTAGCTTCTGTTTCGTCATCACTGGCGTCCCTCCTCTTCCCTCTCCCCTTCTTGTATGCTTTGTACATCGCGTCGATTCCTTTTCGCGTGAGCACCAGCCTGAAGCCCGCCCAGCAGCTGAACCGCTCCCTAAGTCGAAGGAGCATCATCAGTCTCACCCACTTCGCTCGCTGCCCACCGTCTCCGCTCCCTCCCGCTTGAGCCGCCGTCGCGGCCCTCGTTCGTCCCACTGGCTGCTGGCCTGTCTGCACGTTACCTCCGTTATCCCTCCTCCTCCGCGACTCCCTCAAGGCTGGCCGGGCCTCCTTCCACCCAGCGAAGAGCTTCCTCAGCCACTCAATGTGTTCCTCTCTCTTCATTATGCGCGCGGTAGCCTCATCGTTGAGCTGGATCCACCTCTGCACCGCTCCCGTCGCCGCCTCGGCCACGACTTGCAAGTTCCTCGTGACCCCGGCGCCCAGGTCCCTCCGGCTCTTCTCCGAGAGATCATCTACCAGCGCCGGCAACACCCCCCCGACGGCTGGGGCTAGTGCATCGTACCCGTCCTCATCCAGCACCCTATAGCGTGAGCCCTTCAGCGCAGCGACATGCGCTTTCCTCAGCGTCTTCAGCGTATCCTTGGAGTCGGGTGCCGCCTGGGCTACTTTGCTGATCGCCGTCCCCGTCTGCGCTCGCGCTACTCTGAGGAACCATCTGGCCTGCTCCCTATTCCCCAGGCAGGCGCCGCTAAGCAAGTGCGCCATTGTCGCCCTAGGCGGGTTCTCATCTTCCTCGGTCCATTGCTGCGCGGCTTTCCGCGCGACTGGACACAGCGGGTCTTGCTTTAGTGCCGCCCTCCTCGCCGCGTCCCTCGCGGCCTTACAGACGAGGCAGCCCCTGAGTTCGCTCCTCGTGGCGGCGCCCGGGGTCTCTCTCCCCGCCTCTCCCCGCATGATCCTCTCGTGGTGCGCTCCGTGTGGCACCCCCGCCTGCTGCCGCACCCGCGCTCCCATGACGGTCTTTGTCACCACGTTGTGATCATCCACATCGATTCAATCTCGCGCTCGCCGTGTTGATCCTTGATCCGCTGGCGCTTGTCCCATTTGTGTCTCGTCGTTCCCCTGACCACATCGCTCCACAGCGGCCCCGTCACCCCTGCCGTGTGCGATCCCGCCGTGAGTCCCTCGCCGAGCCGTCCTCGCACCCACTCGTTCGTGTGGCCGCGCGTGGCGTAATAGGTCCTCCGGTCCAGTACCTCCCGCCCCCCCTCTCTGTCTGCCGTCCTCCGGCGGTCCGTGTACAGGCACGGGCGTGTCCTCACTGCTTCACGGATAACGGCGGTGGCATCCTCAATCTCGCTGGCCCCCATGTATGCCGTCGCCGCGGCGTCGGCGTAGGCGTTGCTAGCGCACCCCGCGTGGCTCGGTACCCACAGGAACGTGACGGATTCAAGCTGGGCGCGATATCTGCATATCCCCTCTAACATCCCTCCGCGATCCCACTCCCGGAGCCCCTCGAGAGAGCCTTTTCGGTACGCCGCCTCGATCTGCTGTGTAGTGCGGGCTTGTTTTGAGAGAGCGAGAGATTCTGTGTCCTTTTGTTTTTGAGTTTTGTCGAGAAGAAGAGCGAATAGCAAGAGGGAATGCCGAGAATGCGAGGATATTCTCTTGTGGGTGAGTGTTTGCGTATTGTGTTGTGGTTGAAACAAAATCGTGTCGGCGCGCTCCGTCTCCAACTCTGGGCCTGTGATCCCTGCCAGATCCTGCCGCGGCGCGCTGCACGCGTACAAGCCGCAGCGGCGTCGGGGGACCGACGGCAAAAGGCTGAACACTCGCTCGCGTCGTCGCCAAGGGGGTGAGAGCTCACATCTCGCAGCCGCAGAGCCGCGCGAGGTCGAGCGGCGTCGCCTTCATCCACGGGTTGAAGCTGCACTCCTCCGCCATGGTCGACGGCACCGAGGGCTGCTTGCGGAGTCGCAAGTCCCGCACCTGCCACCGCGCACGAGGTCGCGCCTGCCTCGGCGTCTCGCGCGAGACATGGGGGCCACCGCTCGGGGGAGGAGGAGGGGCTGGGCGAGGCGGGGCGGGGCGAGGGTTGGGTGAGGCTGGGCCGGTCCCCGGGCCGCCTGCCGCAGCTTGCGGAGGGCGGCGAGGTTGGACGGGTCGCTGCGCACGGCCATCGTGAGCAGCATGTCGGCGTACTCGTGCCCAGAGAAGACCTGGCGGCGGCGTGGCGCGGGGCTGGCGAGTGAGGTGGCGCCCGAGGGCTCGCGCCCGGTGCAGTGGTGCCTGGCAGTTTAGGAGAGGTCTATCTAGGAGGAGGTCGAGGAGAGGGCTAGGAACAGGGCTAGGAGGAGGTCTAGGAGAGGGCTAGGAAAGGGCTCGGAAGAGGGCTAGGAAGAGGGCTAGGAAGAGGGCTAGGGAGAGGTCTAGTAGGAGTGCCGCCTGGCAGTTTGGCGCCAGTCGCGTGCGGAGCCGGCGGAGCGACGCGTGCAGCTGCAGCGACGAGCCCTCGAAGAGGCGGCCACAGCCGCCGCAGAAGAGGGTGTCTCCCGTGAAGGCGGCGTGAGGCGCCGCCGGCGCGGCCGACGAAGAGATCTGGAAGACTGCAGATCCAAGCGTGTGGCCAGGCACCTGAAGCTCGGGCGGTCTCGGGTCATCTCGGGCGAGAGGGTGCGGCTCAGACACGACTAAAGGCTAGGCTGCGGACTGGCTGCGGACTTGGCCGCAGGCTCGAGGGCGGAAGCATGTGCGTGGGCCGCGCCGAGTGGGCGGTGGTGAGGCGCGCGCCGGCGGCGATCAGTCTCGACCTCCTCTCGGCCTCCTCTCGGCCCCCTCTCGACCTCCTCTCGGCCTCCTCTCGACCCCCTCTCGGCCTCCTCTCGACCCCCTCTCGGCCTCCTCTCGGCCTCCTCTCGGGCGCTCACCGAGTGGGCGGTGACGAGGAGCCTGCCGACGGCGATGGTCTGCTCGTCGGCGAGTCTCTCGGTGAGAGCAGGCACCCGCCTGGCTCGCGGGCGGAGGATGTGGAGAGGGGGCGTGGAGAGACGGCGCTCACGGGCTGTGCGGGGACTGTGCGGGGACTGTGGGCGGTCGCACCCTCGCTCGCGGTCGCTCGCGACCACCCTTAGGCCAGGCACCTGTTTACAGCCCGATCAGCTGTGAACGAAGGCTGTTCACACCGGTGTGCCTCAGAGGCCGGGCACTTAAACCCAGTCCGCCAGTAGAGGACCAACCAGTCCACTACTGATGAGCCGTACGCGTGCCGAGAGGGGCTGCGGTGTGCTGCTTGGAGGCGTCTGTTTGTGTGTCTGGCGTTATACGGGTGCGAGGCCGCCGCGGGAGAGTGTGGCGAGGGGCGGGTGGTCGAGCTCTGGCGTGCTTGCGCGCCTCCCGCGCGAAAGTCGCGTTGCCGCCCGAGTGGTCAAAGTGCCAGTGCGTCGTGAGCAGCACCTGCGGTGCCGCGAGGGCGAGAGGGAGCGAGGGAGAGGAGTGAGGGAGAGGAGTGAGGGAGAGGCAGGAGGGAGAGGCAGGAGGGAGAGGCAGGAGGAGGGACGGCAGCGCAGAGGGTGTGCTTTGTGAACCTCAACATTGAGCCGCTCCTCCTCTGCGGCGCGAAGCACGGGGTACGGGTCCGCCTGCAGAGAGCCGCTCCAGCCGTGAGCAGACGCGTCCCGCCGTGGAGAGGTGCCGTGGAGAGGGCCGCCGGATCGACGACGATGGCGCGGCGGTCGGGGTCGTCCTCGTCCCAGATGAGGTAGGCGTAGTTGCCGCCAAAGGCCGCGCCCAGGATCGGCACCACCTTGATGCGCAGCTCGCGCGGCCCCATCACGGAAGGCAGCGTGCCGCCGATCTGCTCCGCCTGTGGCTCGTCCGGCCGCGTGTGCAGCAGGTGGCCGAGCACGCGCTCGGCGAGCCAGGTGGAGAAGAGGCCGTACATGATGCGCAGCAGCGGGCCGTGCTCGGGGCACGGGCTGTTGTCACTGTTGCGCCGCCTGCTCGAGAGCGTCGAGATGTTCCACAGGTAGAGCAGGCTGGAGCCGAGCGATAGCAGGCCCCAGCGCCGGAGCGAGAGGGCCCAGATCGCGCTGGCCGTCGCGCTGACGGCGGCACGGACGTAGGAGATGACGACCATCCGCACCGAGTCGGGGAGAGGAGATGGACGAGTTGATGGCTCGCGCGGCGCCACGAGTTGTGTGCAGGCGTCTTCTTCGCTGTTTGTTCACAGCACGCCACTAGGAAACCTAGAGGCGTCGGAGAACCCACAGTGCGATCTGCGCCCCAGAGCGTTTTCGCCTCTCCCGGCCGCCCGTGAGCGCCCCCCGCGTGCATCTACTGGCTGAAAACGCGTCGTGGGCCAGCTCTCATACCCTCCCGCCCGGCCCCGGCGGCAGGTGGCGTCGCGCCGCCCGAAGCACCGCCCGCGGTGGTGCTGGTGTTCGAATGACAGAGTGACTGCGCTAGGCGGAGCCCGCGCTTCTCCTCCCTGCTCGATGTGTCGCTCAAAACTGTGCAGCCCTAGCGAGTAGGTACCGATGCGCCAGCATGCCGCGGGGCGACGACCAGCTCCGCTCGGCAAGTCTGCTGGTAAGGCACATCCCTCGCTCATGACTCGCCTCGCCGCTCGAGTGGCACTCCAGCAGGCTCAGCGGCGTGCGCGCCGGCCGCGAGGGCCGCCATGGCCGCGTCCGGATCGGTGGCGACCGCCGCGCCCGCGGGAGTGAGCGCGACCGACCTCGACGCCGCCGAGGCTCAGCCTGCGAGGCGTCGCAGCGGGCGCTACCCGCCGCGCCTGCAGCAGAAGGAGCGCCACGCTTGCTCGCGCGCTGTGACGACCGGCACCGCGCCGTTCGCTCGACGGCGACGGCACGCGCGGCGGTGCGTACCCGCGCGTCCGGGCGGCGGGTTCGGTGGCACGGCTGTGCACGCGCCGGCGGGCGGCGGCGCCGAGGCTGCTGCCGCCATGGCAGCGCTGTGGCGGCGGCGAGGGCGACCGGCCGAAGGCGCGCCGCACACACGCGTGCTCGCTCCCTTACTCACGGCGACGGCACGCGCGGCGGTGCTTACTCGCGCGTCCGGGCGGCGGGCTCGGTGGCGTCTGTGATCTGTAACGTGCGTGTGAGGGCCCGTTGTGGGTAGTTATGAGCGCGTGTTTGAGCTTGAAGACCCGAGATAAGTGCGGTTTCAGACACCTCAGGCTTGCTACTGATGGGCCTGGGCCAGGAGAGCGACAGAAAAGGCGAGGTGGAGAGCAAGCAGCTTTTTTCTTTTTTCCGCGGACACCGCACGTCCGTTTCGCCCAAGCACCACGCCGGCGGGCGGACGGTTCGCAGGCGTACGCGCGTGTCAAAGCGATGTCGTTGGAGGAGGTGGAGGCGTCCGTCGCCTCACGCACCGCCCTTGAGGCGGAGCTCCTCGAGGCACCTGACGGACGCCGCGACAAGATCCTGTGGAGGCTCCTCCGCGACGCCGTTGCCAAGCTCCCAGCCGCACAGTGCCGCCGCGGCCGCGAGATCAAGACGCCGGGTGAGATCGCTGACGGGCTGCTCGGCCTCTCAAACGACATGCTCCTCGACGGCCTCCACTCGTCGCAGGAGCTGCTCTCCTTGATGATTGAGCATGGTGGCTTCGGAGAGCCGGCAGTGCGAGTCGAGTTCCTTTGCTGCTCGTCCGCGTCTGTCCGAGCTGCCGTTGCCAAACCGCCCAAACGCGTACGTTTCGACATGAGCGGTCCCGATCGAGCACTCGTCGAGCGAGTTTCCAACGAGATTGCTGCCGAGATGGAGGCAAGCTCGACCGCGACAGGCGGCCACTGCAGCGCTAGCTCCACAGTGACAGACGGCCACTGCGCGACTCCGCTGTTTGCCGCGTGCGTGAGCGGTCACTACGCCATTGCCCGTCTTCTCCTCCGCCTCGAGTGCGGCGCGCGCGAGGCAGAGGAGGTGGAGGCGCGCGAGGCCGCAGTCCACGAGGTGGCGTCACCTCCGCCATCACCTGCGGCTGAGAGCGACGAGGAGATGGAGAAGGAGGAGGAGGAGGAGCAGGAGCAGGAGGAGGAAGGCGATGGGCGGGGAGAGGGCTGCGGAGACGAGGCGGGCAAAACCGCCGTGCCGTCCTCATACGGCACCTGGCAGCTGGCCCAACTGCAACAGGAGCGTCGCGCCGAGCGTCGCGCCGAGCGTGCGAGGCAGCATGGAGAAGCCCCGCCTCGGGAGGGTATCACCACCGCATACCTAACGCAGCTGTTCTACTCGCCGCGCTTCTCCTCCCTATCCTCCACAGTGCGCTTCGAGCAGTTGGCTGCTGTCGCGTCGCACGCGGCAGAGACTGCTTGCTTGACGCCCGGTGGTGCTGCCCGCTCTTAGCTCCCAGGCGACCGCCCCCCAGCTCTTGAGATGCCGCCCCATCCTCGCGTCAGGGAGCGGTGTCGCTGCAGCACCCACCTTCATCAAGCCACCAGGTGGACGTGGCGGCGAAGCAGGCGCACCGCCAGGTGCGTGGGAGTTCTGCACGGATGAGGCGGGCGCAGAGCTCGAGCTGGAGGTTGAGCGGGGCGGGCCCGTGCCCTCGCGTCGCCGGCACGGCGCTACCTCGCCGTCGACGCTCATCACGCCGGGCCTCCGCCGGTCCACTGGTGCTACGTACTCCTCGATTGCGCAGCTCGAGCTGTATGATGAGGCCCGGCTGCACATGCACACAATGCTCGAGCAGCTGCCGCCGGACCAGCAGGCAGCGCGCTGCCTCGCCGAGCTGCGGTACCTGCATGGCGCTGTCGCAAAGGTGCTGCGAGATGTGGACCCCAGTGAAGGTGTTGGGGACGAGAAGCTGTGGTCCAAGCAGACTTGTCGTCTGCTGCGCTCTCCGCACCTGCAGACGCAGGTGCAACGCGTCCTCGGCAAGCTGGAAGGCGTAGTGGGCCTGATCCTGGACTCCTCTCCGGGAGACCCGCTCGGCGACGACCACGCGCTCGATGCGGTCGTGAAGGTGCTCGTCGAGGAGGCGCCAGTGGTGGCCGACTTTCTGCAGGTCACCTGGTGCTTGAAACTGACTCCACGCAACCCGCTCGGCTACTTGCGCCGCGAGAAGGCGAAGCAAAAGGCGGCCGGCAGGCGCGGCAAGCCCGCAACAGGGTCGCGGCTCGAGGACCTCAGAGCGGCGGCGGCAGCAAAGAAGAAGGAGCGCGCCGGCGGAGGAGCGGCCGGTGGGAGCGATGCTGCGAGTGATGCTGCTGCGACGCAGCTGCTCTCGACGCTGGCGCCCCTCACGGTTGTTGCAGAGGCAGTGTCACCCTGTGGCACCGGCACCGGCAGTGACGGCACCCAGCCGACTCAGCACCCAGCCGCCGCCGCTGCCCTCGGCCTCTTGCAGTTCGCTGCTGGCTTCGGGCTAGGTGCTCATGGTGCCGCTGCTGCCAGTGGTGCCGGTCCGAGCGGCAGCGGTGGTGGTGTCGGCGCCGGTGGCACTGGCAGCCCGAGTGGCACCGCTACCCTGCCTCTCTGCCACCACTGCAGGCAGCATCGCCCAGACCTTCGCCTAGTGATGTGCCAGCAGTGCGAGAGCGTGCCCGTCCATGAGGATTGCTGTACGGCCGCGTTCGCGCCGATCCGCCCTCCTCTCCCAGTGCCGGCCGGCACTGCGCTCTGCCCTCGATGCGCCGAGGCTCTGCGCGAAGCGGTCGAGGACGGCGGCGAGGACCCACCGCACGGTGCATCCACCTCGCCAGCCCTACTCCTCCCACTCTCCTCCTCCCACTCTCGCCGCTCCGTTACCTCTCTCACGCTTACTCACCCGCGCGCTCAGATGTCGAGGCCGCTTTTGGCGCCCTCTCCGCGGAGGAGCCATCTCTTCTCGTGCGTGTGCAGCGGGCCGGGCGCGGCCATGCCGCCGCTGCTGCAGTAATCGACGACCATCGCACCAAGCTCGAGCGCGCCCACGGGGCGACAGACGAGCAGCTCGCTGCAGAAGACGAGGCCGAATTTGTGGCGCTGCGAGGCCACCTTAGTGCCCTCGCCGCAGTCGAGCACCTTCGCGGCTCCTCGCCCGACGCCGACGCGGCCGAGGCGGCCTTGCAGAGCTTGCGATCGCAGCCAGGCGTCGACGACGAGCTCGTCAGCGACGTCGCCTTAGTCGTGCAGAAGTGCCGCCAGGGCTACGTCCTCTCTGCCCCGCTCCGTGCTTTCCGTGTCCGCACGGTCGAGTGCCGTGTCCGCGCTTTTGCGCTCGGACCGTTGCGCGACGCGCTTGGCATAGAGGCTGCGCCTGCAGGCGGCACCATGGCCGACGATGGCGAGGCTGAGGAGGAAGCGGACGAGGAGGAGTGCTCCACCGACGCTGACGCTCGCAGCCGGGGCTGGCGCGACCGGTCCCGCCGGCTGGCAGAGGCTCTGTTTGTGCTTGCTTTCAACCAGATGATCGGCAACCAGGCCACGATGCCCAACCTCAAGCAGCTCTTCCGCCTGCTCTCGCGCTTCATGCACGAGCCGGACCGCCTTGCCTCGTTGCGCAGCCGCATGCGTTGGTCGGCTCCGCGAGGTGCTGAGAAGCCGTGGCTGCGCTTGCGAGCCGTGCGACTAAGGTACAGCGACCGCGCGGTGGCCGCCCGTGCCGAGCTGGACGTGGTGCAGTCGTCGGACAACGCTTCCTTCTGGAACATGGTGGCGCCAGGCGTCGGCCTCACTGAGCGCATCAACTTGTGCTCCTGGACAGCGCTAGGCGAGTGGCACATGCACCCGTTCGGTGGCCGCGACGCAAGCGGCCGCGAGCTCAGCCGGAAGGTTGGCAGGTTCCTCGTCACCAACGACGGTTCCGCCGGCTCGTTTCGCCACGTCGTCGTGCCGCGGTGCGGCCGCGGCGAGCTGTCAAGCACGCATCTTCGCCTCCGCCTGCCCGACGACCGCGGCTTGTACGATTCCCTCGAACTCACACCCTTTGATGGCACGGTCACCCACGCGGTCCTGCTGGCACCCACAGCAGTCAACCTGTCCGAGGCGCCAACGATGCTAACGCACCAATCCGAGGCCGAGATGCTCCAACACGCCATTCACGAGGAGTGGGCCGGGACCATGCAGCTCCTCATCTTCGACCACGGCGCGCTCGACAACGTGTCGACGCGCGTCTTGCCGTGGCGGCCGCGCAGGTTTGGGCGGCGGCCGGCCGGCGCGCCTCCAGGCACCTTTGAGGAGGGCCCGGCCG